GTAGAGCGCAAGTTTTTCCTTCAGCTGCTTGTGCCATGTGGCAAGAGCCACCTCCCAGGGCTTATCCTGCGAGGGGAAGGGCTGCGTGGGTGGATCTGCCGGCGCAGGCTCTGGAGATTCCTGCTTTGGTGGGGATTAGATTAAACCTCCTTTTTGTGTTCCTCAGCACTGAGTTATTTCTGTCACACTCTGGGGGGTGTGATGGAGTGTGGGGTGGCTTGGGAGCTTGTACCAAAGGGAATATGTGGGGAAGAGCTGGGAATTTGGCATTGGGCAGAGCTGGGCATCAGGTTTGGAATGCTGGGCACTGCATTTGTGTTGCTGGGTCTGTGCAGCACCAGCTGAGCCTCTTCTCCAGCCCAGACTTGTTTGCCATCCGTGCTGACTCAACCCATGGATATGGGCTCAGCCCAGGGCTGGAGCACAAGGCCATGAGGTCGTGACATGGAATCGTGTTCTCCCAGCCTGGATGGACGGGATGTGAGCCCCACTCACCGCCCGTGTGCTGAGCATGGTTTTTGACAGACAGCACAGAGATGTTGAGTCATCTCCCCATGCCAGGCCAGGATCAACGGGGCCGCACTGGGAATGAGGGGTGGGATTATCTGCTCCGGCTCCTGAGTGCAGTCAGATGTCCATACTGTTGGAAATGGATTAAATATCCTTAATCGGTTTAATATGAACTTTGTTATCCCCACAGATACATGTTATTCCTCTTCCACAATAGCTGTAGTCTGCCTGTTCTCTTCAGGAGCCAGCTCAGGATGGGCTGTGCTGAGCCATGGCCAAGCAGGGGCTCCCAGGCCTTCCCAGGAGAACAGGGTCTGTCATACTTGTCCATGCTGTGACTGGGGTGGGAAGTGGAAGGAGGAAGCACACCCTGATCCTGCCAGCAGGTGAGTTTGCTTCCTTGGAGAGGTGGGGGCTGTCAATGGGGACACAGGGTTTTATTCAGGCATCCCTGCCATGGTTTGCTCTCCAAGGAGGGAGCCGGTGTCTGTTGTACCTCTGCTGTTTGAGGGTCTCCAGGCAGGGTCGCACAGTTCCTGGCACCAGCACCATCTCCTGCTCCTCCTGCTCTGGGCCCTGCAGAAGGGACAAACAATTTGGAATCGCTCTCCAGTCCCAGCCAGGACTCGCTGAGAAAGTTGTTGTGGTCTCAGGTTTCAGGCTGCTGTCAGTGCCGGGAGGTTTGGGGATGGGAATGGCACTTCACTCCATCTGCCCTCCACTAATCCCCAGACAAACGCGGCTCTTCCATCTGTGCAGCCGGAGCCGCCGAGCCCATCACACCAGCCACTTAATCTAAATGGCTTTGGCCAAAGATAAGGTCATTAATTACACTGGGATTAGAAAACAGTCCAGGCCCAGCGTGGCTTGGCTCGCCATCAATTAAAGTCCTCAGCGCCCTGGCCTGGCTGAGCATCGAGCGGAGAGCTCGAGCTGGGGGAGCTCTGTGTCCTTGCTGACAGGACACTGCCTGTCCTCGGAGGAGCCCCCTCACCTGGGCACTGGTATTTTGGCACAGCACTGGGGTGGGCTCCTGTCCCTGGTCACTGGCTGGGCTGTGTGCGAGGCAGAGCTGCAGATGCAGGTCCAAGGAGCGTGGGCACCGGGGCGGGCACCGTGGCAGCCAGTTCAGCACAGATCCTTGTGTCCAGCAGTAAGAGGTACGTGAGCAGCACCTCCCCATCTGCATCCCCATCGCTGGCTGCCTCCAGCCTCCACCAGCCCCTGCCAGGCCACCACACTGAGCTTGGCCCTGACTCACTGCCCACACGGGTGGCCAAACTCTGATGCCCTCGCTCATGGCCACTGTCCACAGAGCTCAGAGCCCAAAATCTGTCTGTGACTTGTGCTTCCTTCTGCTCCTCCACCTTTCGGTTCCCTTTTCTTACCAGATTTTGGGTATAAAATGCTCTGATCTGCTCATCCCACAGGAAATGGCTCATCCATGCAATGCTGCCCTTTGCTGGGGCGGGATGTGCCACTTGCTCTGCCCTGCCAGGTGCCATGCTGGGGAACAGTCAGGGCTGGGACATGTCACGAGTTTGGCCTCATCCCCTCCCCTCACAAGCAAGAGGCACCGTGAGGGAGGTGGGGGGACATTATGGGCTCTGTGCCAGGAGCCAACTGGCACTGGGGCACGGGGGCACAGCTGCCACCTCGCCCGGCACCGGTGACCAGCTGGTGTCTGTGCCCCTGTTCACTGGTGGGTTTAAAGCACCCGGCTGTCCCTTAACTCCCGTTGGAGGTCCCGGCTGGTGACGCTGCCCTGGCTCTTCCCACCCCAGTTCCCACACTGCAGGGACAGTCCTGCACCGGTGCCTCGGACGGGCTGGGGACCATCTGTGGGATGGTGTCACCTGGGGCCATCAGCTCCTGCAGACACGCGGCAGCTGCAGCACCAAACTGAGCCGTGTCCTGGGCTCGTCTTTGGTTCCCAGGTGGGATCGTCGTGTCGTGGAGCACCGGGGGGATTTAACGGAGCCCTGGGTGGTGGGTGTGGTGGGAGGGAGCCCTCAGGGTCCATCTGGGCTCAGCAGGGCTGAGTGGCACCGCTGCTGTCACAGGGCTGGTGGGTGAAGGAAACTAAGGGGGAACCCGAGTCATGGCTGGGGCACGGAACTGCTGGGAGAGCTGGGAGCAGGGCAGGGCGTGGGGGATGCTGTGGCCCATCCGGTGCCTCGGCAGCGTTTCGGGTGGCTGCGGTGAGGCCGTGTCGCAAGAGCCTAAAAATAAATGGAGCTGTTGGCCGGGGTTGTGCAACAGTGTGTGCCCCATCCTGCGCCGCGCGGGGCCGGGGTGGATTTGGCGGCAAAGCCCGGGTGTGTGTGGCAGGATCCTGGCATCGGGCCCAGGAAATGCTGGTATCCGAAGGGCTGGGGGCTGTGCCCCCTCTTTGTCCCATTCTTGTGGTGCTGCCCTGTGCCCGGGGGTGCCCGTGCAGGTTTAGGGACGTGTGGGCTGAGCTGGGCTGTGGGGGCAGGTGGTTGGGATTGGTGTCCACATCTTGGCACCCTGAGGAATTCAGTGGGGGAGTCCAGAGTTCAGGGGGCTGTGGGGACCCTGCCCACGTGCCCTCCAGCACGTGCTGGACATGGGGAAACTGAGCACGGGAGTGCTGCAGTCTGTGACACCTTGGCAGGAGGCTCTGGGTCCTGTGGCACCTGTGGGGTGCCCATTGTCCCTGCAGTGAGGGGCTTGCGTGGGGCAAGTGAGGGGGGGTCAGCAGTGCCGGGAGCAGCCTGTGTGCCAGGCGGGAAAGGCGGGAAAGGTGGCGGGAGGGAGAGCACTGGCAGGACACCAAATCCCAGGGGACTTGGCCCTGTGCCCCGGGAGCATGGCTGTGCTGAGGTGAGTCCTGGGGTGTCCCCATGGGGGGTGTCACAGCCCCTGCCAAGGGCTGACCCGGGGTCCAGCACTGCAGGGGTCCCACCGGGGTCTCCCCCAGCTCGGGGGGCTGCGGGTGGGGGTGTCCAGGCCGAGTGGGGCCCCCACCGTGTAGCTGGTGTGAGTGGGGCCAGCGTGGCCGCGTTGTCACGGTGTCACAGGGCCATCTGCCGGCAAAGGCACCGGCCCCGTGGCAGCCAGCCATGGCCTCCAGCAGCATCCCAGTCCTCCCAGTCTGCAGCTGCTGGGGCACTGGGGAAGGAGGGGGTCCTGGATGGGCTGGCTTGGGGGCAGCAGTGGGGGCAGCCCCACCATGGGGGGCACTCTGGGGGCCACCCTGGGCTGTTTACCCTCGGGGAGCTCCTGATCACCAGCAGTGTCACAGTAGGGTTGAGACTTGGGAAGTGGGATTTGTCCTACAGGGATGGGTCCCCACAGAATCAGGGATGGGGGACATGCTCCCTGGGGGGGGTTCAGTCAGGGGGTCTCATGGATGGGACTCATGAGGGCTGGACGGTGGGTGCCTCCCAGGATGAGGACGTGGCAGAGACAGCCCCGCTCTGGCCTCGAACATTAAATGTCATTTTATTTCACACCCAAAAAAAAATGTAGAAAAGAAGAGGTGAGTGTGGATTTAATTGCTCATATTAAAAATCTACCAGGTGAGACTGAGCCATTTCCTCCAAAGTCAGTGCAGATCCACAGGGATGCTTATTCCTCCTCCTTCTCCTCTTCCTCCTCCTCCTCTTCCTCCAGCAAATGCTCGGGGACCAGGATGGGGACAGGGGCGACACCTGCCCCCTCCCCAAGGTGTCCCCATGCCATGGGCACTCACTGCCACCGAGGCCCCCATTGCCACATCCCTGCCCGGTCCTATCCTGCCCGGCCCCGAT